GGAAAAATTACTAGCTGACCTGGAAGCACAGAAAAAAGATCAAGAGGCGATCATTAAAACCAAAGAACAGGAACTCCAGAAACTCCAAGCCAAATCATCTGAAACTGAAGCAATTCTCAAATCCACACAAATGCATTGGAGCAATTCCAGCAACAGGCAGCCGCTTCTGACGAGGAAGGGCCAAGAACTTGGCCAAACTGCAGGAGGAGATCAGCCAGCTAAAGTCCCAGGCAGGGAAAACTGAATTGGACTTGAAACCAGTCAATCTGAGGCGGAATCAAGGGCAAACAGCTGGAGACGGCGAATGAAGCGATTGAGGAAAAAGCCCAGAAGCTGGCTTATTTCCAAGAACAGCTTATCGAATTGAAATCGGAGGTGAATCAAACTAAATCAGCTCTAAGCTCAAGCCAGACAGATGTAGAGTCCAGGACTAAGCAACTTGAGGCAGCCAATGCAGCTCTCGAGAAGGTCAATAAGGTAGAGTAATGTCATTAATTAATTCAAACAAATATTAAATACATATTTTTTTCTTCAGGAATACGCTGAATCCCGAGCGGAAGCCTCACATCTGGAGGATCAGATCAAGGAGATCACCGAAAAGCTACATGCCGAGCTCCTGGCAGAGAGATCCTCGGCAAGCGACCTGCACACCAAGCTATCCAAATTCTCTGAGGAATTGGCTACCGGCAAGAAGGAGCTGAACAGCAAGGCGGATGTCTGGAGTCAAGAGATGTTGCAGAAGGAGAAGGAACTCTTGGAGCTCCGCAGCAACTCCAATACAGTGAAGATTCCCAAACAAAGCTCAAGGCAGAGGCCGAAAGAAAAGAAGCATCGTTGAAGGAAACCATTAAAACACTTCAGGATCAAGTCACCAAAGCTAAGGAGGAGAATCAAGAGCTAAACAATGGTTCCCAAGAGACAATAAGGGATCTGCAGGAGCGGCTGGAAATCACAATGCTGAGATCCAGCAAAGGAGAAAATGGCGCTGAAGATGCTCAAAAGATAGCCGACCTTAAAACCTCGTTGAAGCCATCCAGGTGGCCAACGCCAACATATCAGCCACCAATGCGGAGCTCTCCACTGTCTAGAGGTCCTTCAAGCTGAGAAAAGCGAAACCAATCACATATTTGAGCTTTTCGAAATGGAGGCTGACATGAACGCCGAGCGTTTGATTGAAAAACTCACTGCTATGAAGAATGAGCTGAAGGATACTCATACCAAACTGGATGAGGGGCAGAAAAAGTACCAGGAGCTAGAGAAATGTTTAGAGCAAGTGACCCAGAGTGAGCAGAGCCTGCAGCAGGAGTCGTTAAACTCAAAGGAGCAACTCAAAGAACTCCAACAGTCATTAGGAGAACTTCAGGACACACTCAAACAAAAAGATGAACTTTCCTGAACATGGAGGGTAAACTAAGAGATGCTAGTTCCGAATTTGAAGGCATGTTAAGCTCCTCCAAGGAAATCCAAGAGAAACTACACGAAGCTGTGAAGAAGGAGAACCATTTACAAGAACAGAGTGCCAAATTGAGCCAGCAACTCCAGCAGCTTCAGGAAACCGAAGCTAAGCATATCGAGTTACTGAAGCAGAAGGATGAACTTGTACAGAATTTAGAGGAGAGACTAAAAGAAAGCAATACTCATTTGGAAATACACAGCTCCACATCGAAGGAAACTCAAGAAAAGCTAGAAGACGCACAAAGCGGGAGAAGGCTCTGCAGGAAGAAGCTGCTAAATTATCGGAGCAACTGCAGCAAGTACAGCAGGCAAATAGCGAAGTCAACGATTCACTGGTGAAAGTAGAGGGACTGGTTAAGGACTTCGAACAGAAACTGGAGGCAGCCCGGCAGCAATTGGAAGCCCAGCAGCCGCCAACAAGGAGCTGCAGGAGCAGCTCAAGAAAGCTTTGGAAAACGAGGGAAACCTGCAAGGCGAGTCCCTGGCAGTTTCGGAGCATCTAGTCAGCTGCAGCAGGCTAATGGCGAACTCCAGGAAATGTTGACCAGAAAAGAAGAGACACTGAAAGCTTGAGAAAAACTTGAAGAAAGTAATTCCCAACTCAAAACTCAAATGGGAAGCCATAACGAACTACAGGATAAGCTGGAAAAGGCACAGCAAAAGGAGAGGAATCTTCAAGAGGAAACATCCAAATTATTGGAGCAGCTGGAACAACTGAAGCTAGCCAACGAGGAACTCCAAAATCGCTGAAGCAGAAGCAAATTCTTTTGGAAAAGGGCAATGAGTTCGATACCCAGCTGGCGGAGTACCAGAAAGTCATCGATGAAATGGATGAAACGGCCTCCACCAAGTCCAAGCTGCTGGAACAGCTTCAAAACAGAGTGGTGGAGCTCGAGGCGGCTCTCCATAAAGCCAACGAAGCCCAAAAGACTGCCAATTGGAAACCAAGGAGCTAAGGCGTCAACTGGAATCGCTCGAGTTGGAGAAGTCAAGAGAGATTCTAACCCTGAGGACCCAGATGAATGGAGCAGGTAGCACCCCGTCAGGCAAGGGCGATGAACTGGAGGTAATACTAAGGGTACCTAACTATCCTTTTTTCCTATATTTATTGTTTTTTCTTTAATTATAGACACTAGATACTGAGACCAGCCTGGCGAAGATCAACTTCCTCAACTCAATCATTGCAGACATGCAGCAAAAGAATGATGCCCTCAAGGCCAAAGTCCAGACCCTAGAGACCTTGCCCATGGACTTTACCAAGTGAGCTAGTTTTAATTTTAAATTTGAGCTTATTTATTTATTAAATTACTAATTTCCTCAGACCTCATGCCTTTGATGCCCTGACCAAGCGCAAACCAGCTCCCAGACTTTTTCTGTGACATTTGCGATGAGTTCGATAAGCACGAGACGGAGGACTGTCCCATCCAGGGTGGTGATGATCGGGACTACTCGCCTCCACCCACCGCTGAGGCTAATAACAATGAAAGAAGGAACGCAAGTTGCCCGCACCCAGAAAATACTGCGAGTCCTGCGAGGGTAAGTTGATGGTTAGGAACCTATTCTTTAAGATGAGCTAATCACATTTTCCTTTTCAGTTTTGGCCACGATACAAGCGAATGTGCAGATGATGAGACCTATTAGCTTTAGAACAATTTTTTAAATTTATTGTACTTTGTTGATTAGAACTTTTACCTCGAGCGCTGAGCTTCACTCACACTATTTCGAAAAACATTCTATTATTTTAAATTGTGATTTTGCGTTTATCCTCGCATGTGTACATCGTGGATAATAGTCTATTTCAAATTGTTTTTATTTATTTAATTCGATATAATGCCAACGTTTCGTAAATTATTGTAAAAAAGTGTAAAAATAAAATTCATAAAGTGAAGTAAGACGCTTTATTCGGGGTTTTTACATGAGACTAAAATGCTACAATGAAAATATTAAATTAATCTCCACCCTCCTTCTTTTCCTTGATAGCGTCCTGAAAAAAATAATATAAATATATTAGACAAGGAAATTCATTAAATTACTTAATTACAAATTACAAATTAGTGGATTGGGCAGCAGATTAAGGCAGCGATGTTTTTCTTGGACTGGAAGTAGGCTTCTCTTGTATGCCTTTGGTTTTAAACCCTTGCATCTAAGGGATTCATTAATGCCCCCCATCCACAATCCATGTCAAATTCTTATATCTTACTTTGAATCGCTCTTCGAAAGTGATAATTCGGCCAGCAGATCGGTAATGGCGTTCATGAATGCTTCCTGGGCGAGTAGTCCGCCGTAGTCTGAATCCGGATAACAACTTATGCTCCAGGGGATGGGGAACCTTGTAACCGGCAAACAAAACATTGGGATCCTTCAACAGTTGGCTGCATGAGCAACATAGTGATTTATATCCATAATTATAGCGATTAATTAACCAGCTTACTTGCGGATCATGTTGCCCAGAGTATGATCCTCTTTGTTTATCGTAAATATCGCCGCATTTGTTACTTTTGTGTCCAATTCCTTTATGATTCTGCCACCGCGCCAAAACAAAACAAATTCGGTTAAATGAGTTCATTTTGTGGAACAAATATGGTTTACTCACTTCTTCTCGCCTTCATACAGCAGGAATGATTCGAAGGTCGGTGGCGCATTCATAATTAATGGCTTATATTAGTTTTTATTTTGAGAAAATTGCAATTGTTTATAAAAATCAGCCGCACGCTCAGAAAATTTGCTGCGTTAGTGTTGGAAAACGTGTAAATATGCTAGCTAGCTATTTTATGGCTGGAAACAAGCATTTTAATAAACGCAGACTAAGCAAATATTTCGTGTATAATTATTTAAAATAAATAAAAAATAAAATAAATCCCTATTTAAGTAAGCGTTTTTAAATGCCAACCATGCAAATTCCGTCTGGCACCAGAAGTTTTTATTTACATTAAAATAAAAAGGAAAGCAAACTGACTTTAGGATCCGAAGTTTGTATAGTATTGCAGTTTGCATTTTGATCAATGTGTAGATTAAAATTATCATAAAATATACAATAACTAAGCTTACAATGAATCAATTTCAATTCAGAATGTTGTTTTATGTTAGTTTTTATGAGATTTATAAATCTGCATACTTTATTTAAATTTAATGAAATATTACATTTTTTGTAAATTTTTTAAAATTTTAACGATGTAACCCCTTATAAAATTTTTAATTCTGAAAAATTTTAATTTTTGCAATACATAGCTAGTTCTACTCGTCTGTTGATCCTGATCAAATATATATGATTTATAGGGTCGAAAATGACTCTTTCTTTGTTTATTAAGCTTCTGACCAAAATCTCACATCTGCAATGGTATAAATGAATTAGTTGACATATTTGGCAATTAATAATGATTTCTTTGTTTTTATAAAAGACTTTAAAATAATTAAATTATATATTCTGCTGTTGAATTCATTTGAAAGAATCTAGCTATTTTTAAGATGCAATGTCTGGTATATTTGAAGCGGTGAATCTTAGTATTTTTGAGATTCTTCTGGTATTTTTGCACCGCCCCGGTGACGGTCACACTGTTTCGAATTATTTGCAATTTTCGTCCGCGTCCAAATCGCGCCAAACAATTGGCATTCCTACACTTCCACGAAATTCAGACCTTTGAACAACAGTTAGACACCACTTTGATCCGACCACCACTGAGATGAGCGAGTTAAATGCGAGTGTTGCCGGCCCAGAGGGCGAGGATGGAAATCCGCACGAGCAATCGACCATCACAATGGTGGATGTGCTCGAGCAGGAGAAGGAATTGGAGGACGAGTACGCCGCGGTGCTGGGCGCCTCCGACGAGAAGTCCTGCACCTATGCAAAGGGACCCATCGCCCGGCAGGCCCTGTACTCCTGCCTCACTTGCTGCCCGGAGGCACGCACTGACCTTACCAAAGCCGCCGGCTGTTGCTTGGCCTGTTCCTACCGCTGCCACGAGAACCACGAACTGGTGGAGCTTTATACTAAGCGGAACTTCCGCTGCGACTGTCCCACAAGCAAGCTGGGCAAGTGCTCCCTGAATCCGCAACTGCAAGGCGCTCAGGATGCCAATAAGGGAAATCTGTACAACCAGAATTTCCAAGGGCTCTACTGCCGCTGCAAGCGTCCTTATCCTGATCCCGAACGCACCGTCGAAGAGGTGATGCTGCAGTGCGCCATCTGCGAGGACTGGTACCATCTGCCGCACATGAAGGCTCCGGGCGCCAGCGAGAAGTGGCTGGATGCCTGCAGTGAAATGATCTGCGATGGCTGTATGGATGCTGTACCATTCCTTAAGGACTATACCGGATTGGCCTTGCAGCCCGTTGAGGGTGATGAGGAAAAGAAGCCCAAGGAGGACTTAAAGCCAAAGCAGGATGAAGGTCAACTAAAGTCGGAGCTAGATCGTAGCATCTGCGATATAATGAACGTTTCGGAGAAGAAAGGCGATGCAGCAGCGGCAGAGGTTGGCGAACCCAGCCAGAAGCGTGCCAAGCTGGATAATTGCAGTCGTCCCACGCCTCTCAAGGAGCATCAGGGTGAGTTTTATGGCAAATTATTAACTAAACTTAAGTACATGCAGGAAACAACCATAATTATTAAGCAAAATCAATACATGAAGAGCAAATCAAAGTTCTTCTTGCCATCCCCAAGTAGAGGAATCCATGCTTATGGGAATCCATCTTGTGGAAGAAGGTCATGCCCATCCAAAGGCAAGACTTGATCACCACCAGTCGTTCGTTCCGTTGCAAATTCAAGGCAAAGGCCTGACCTAGTGGAATAACGCTATCAATGGTGTCCAGGAAGTCGATAGCATAGTTATAGTCGCTCCTCTTGGCCAAATTCACTTTGAGATCGTTACGGGGCAGACGGTATAGTTGATAATAAGACTGGTTATCCATTTGCAGACTGTTTAGGCCCCTGAACATCGGATTGGGTATCACGCGGCTATCGGTCATCTTGTAGAACGCGCCACGGGGGCAAATGGCACACTCTTCGGTGATAATAAAGACAATGGCCGCCAGGCGCTCCTCCTCCTTGAGCTTGACCACTTCAGGGCGACTAATGCCTGCCACCTGATTTCCTACAATATCGAAAGTGGGATCCTAAAAGCCATTGTCTTTCATTTAGTTCCTGTATATAGTAAATCCTTGTAAAGCTATCTTACCAACTTAACGTAGGTTTGAATGCTGGGATCTCCTATAAATGGCTCCCTTGCCAATATAGTTGCCTGAAAGATATTAGGGCTTTGCACAAAAGGCAATAGCTGCCACTGAAACTGATCCAGACTGTAAAAGTATTTGCGATCCTTTAGGCAATCGTTCGTGAACCAAATGCAATATAGTAATCGTTTTTGGTGGCCGTGATGCGGCCCCACAAATACATGCCCGAAAAGCGGTTGTCATTTTGCAAGGCGATCAGTGAGTTCTCAATCAGGATACGCTGCTCCGGCGACAGTTTCATGCCGCAGTACATCAGGCAGTCGAGGCCCTCGCTAAAGTACTCCAGATTCATGATGCAGTCTCTTTTTATAATTTAAATGTGTTGTGTTTGAGGGTTTGCTTATACCTAGGAATATTTTTGAATGGAAAATCGGAGCTACATATGTAGTTATACCTCACAAGAAGTAAGCTTGTTTTGAGAGGCGGAAAATTCTATACCTTGCAGAAAAATGTATCATAACTAGGACAAAATTGCATCACTTTCAATTGGAAGCGGACGTGGCTAGATCGACTCAGCTGTTGATACTGATCAAGAATATATATGATTTATAGGGTCGGAAATGCTTTCTTCACTGCATTTTATGCTTCTGACTGAAATTATAATACCCAGCAAGGGTATAAAATCATGAAGGTTTCTATGTTTAGTAGTACTCTAACAAAATATTAAATAACATTTGCACAATGTCTTGCTTAACTTTCACTTATTTAATCAAACAACATTCCTTAAAGTCGGGCAATTAATCAAATCAACTTCATTCGTTAGGAGTTTGACCTGAAATGCCAGCGGCCCTTTCAACCACCTTTGCTCTTCCCATTCCTTCCTCTTTTAAGGAGCCGCTTTCTGGACTAATGACTGGCGCAAATCGCTTTGCCAGTGCTCCGAATGCCTACCGCTCTACAAGGAGCTTGGCGTGGAGTTTCTGCTGGACACCGAGGACTCGGCCAAGACGTACGAGGAGCGCGGCATGAAGCGTGCGGAAGAAAATTCCAGCTATGAGCAGGGCATCCGGGCTTTGGCCTCCATTGACCGGACACAGCAAATCGATGCGATTACCGAATACAATCGTATGAAGGACAAGCTAAAGGAGTATTTGCAGTCCTTCGCCGAAAGCAAGAAGGTGGTGACCGAGGAGGATATCAATCGCTTCTTTGCCGGCATGCGTAACGAGAATAATGATAAGCTGGGTCAACCATACTTTTGTCGCTGAAATCGGTCATCGGGGGTCGGGTTAGAAGATTTTCCTCACCTTTTCAAATTGAGTAATTCTATGAAGACAAATTATAAGTATTGAGCCAAAAGAAATCATTCTAAACAAATTATAGCATAGCATAGGTGAGGAAAGTCATACAAATTTAAAGTTTAAAATTTCAGCATGTCGATTATTTAAAATCTTTGGTTATAACCACACATTCCCTCCTCATCACAGAGCACACATAAATCCATGTAAAATCTTAAGTCGTACTTTATTATAAATCATTATAATTACGGAATTCACTCCATTTACATAACAAAGAAAAGTCGTAACAAGGCATCGGGGCAATGAGATTCGCATGACCCTCTTCTATACGCTATCTAGCCAAAATATCTATGTACAATGTATGGCAAAATAGAGTTATGTAAAGTGTGGTTCTTGGCTGAAGGGAAATGAAAACCTGTCCTTGAGACCCTTTTTTTTACATAACTCTAATTTGGTTAATCTTGTGGTATATTTATGAATATATAAATGTATACGCGTACATTTAGTAATTTGCAAAATTGTTGTTCATTTGGGCGGCTCCACCGATTGTTCCTCCTGCCAGTCCTAAGCTGCTGAGAGTTTCGTCAATTCCTTGGATTAACTCGTTGGTGTCAATGGTTCCGAGATCCATTAATGTGCTGGACAGGATAAGATCGCTGAATGATTGCTGCTGGCCATCTGTCGGTTGATGTTGATGCTGCTGTTGCTGCTGTTGCTGCGGGTACTGGATCTGTTCTGGCTGGGATTGTGGAATATATTGATGCTGCTCTGGCTGCTGTGGAGGCAGGTACTGCTGTGGCTGCTGGAATACCTGCTTCATGTCCTGAGTCGGTGAGTTCATGGCATTCAATTTTAGGCTTACAAAGCCATTGTTATTATTATTGTTATTCATCATCATGTTACTGTTGTTATTATTATTGTTTATTGGCGTCATGGTGCCACCATTAAAACGTGACGGACTGTTGCCAGGATTTGTTGGAAAGTTTGAGGCATCGGGAAGATATAGATGATTAGTGGTCTGTCCGATTTGCATGGGTGGAATGCTGTCCACGGTGCTGTTAGAACGTGGCGATGGGAAATTGTAGTCCACCGAGGGACAGTGGCTGCTCCGGCTGTCCACATCCATGAAAGCCTGCTCCACCTTGATCTCGTGCATAAAGTGGGGACTTCCACCGCCGGGATACATTATGGACATGCCCGGCGATAGCTGTGTCTGCGTCTGTGGCGCTGTTGTGGTCGCCATTTGTGGCGGTTGGACTGCGGTAAATGGGCCTAAAAAAAACAAACAACCTCGTTAGAGCCATATGTTTCCAATGACAACGAAAACGTAAACGAAAGGTTAGTGAACGAAAGGTTATAGACCACAAAAAAAAGGATATACATAGCATTTACATAATTGCGGCGAAACTGAGGTGAAACTAAAGCAATTTGGCAAAAACTCAAAAAGGACAACGGAAACCACAACATCAACTTTGTCGCTGTAGGCAGGCAATATCAACTTACTCTCATTTGATGTCCAACTTTGGTGGCTTGGGGGGAAACTAGACAAAATACAGAGGGGAAAGGAGTCCTCGGTGGTCCGAGGCTTGAAATATCCTTGCATTCAAATTAAGTTCATTTTTAAGTTTTGCTTTGAAAGTGGAAAGTTGCAAAATTCAAATTAATTTAAATTGATGGTGGGAGTAGCAGAAATTTTAAAAAATATTGATACTATAATAGATAATAGGCACTAAAATCAATATGTAAATTAATATTTTAACTATGTATATGTGGGGTAAATGTATCGGACCAAGGAATTAAACAGAGGCTATGGGATAATCCTTAACAGTTTCGATATTTTAAAATGAACTACAATATTTTAATAATTTTTGTAATAATACTATCTAAGCAGTAAATCTAAAAAACTTGTTTGTTTCAACACAGCAAGAATATTTTAACACATTTTCACAAATCAAAATGAAAAATGCTAAATTTTTCCAAAAATAATAACTTTTAAAAGTGAAAATTTCTCTAGTAACTTCAATGATTTTTTATTGAAAATTCCTTTATTCATAATTTTTTCAATACATCAAGAATGTGTAGAACACTAAAACTTTCAATTCGAAACCTCGCTCAACAAACTGTTCCCTAAAAAAGCCATCATAGGCTATATCTTCTATCCGACTTTCAACAATTCCTGGGAGGGGGTTGGACAACATTTGCACCCCATTGGTCCACAAGGTATTATAAACTCCGGTTCTATATGTGTTTGCAAATATATATATATAGTGAATCAATTCTCGCTACTTCTTAATGTTAATTGAAAAATGAATTTATGTGTATATGTAAGGAAGGGGATGTGTGTATATGGTTTTCTAGGAACTACTTAAAACCGGAACCCAATCCCAGCACCAGTAATAAATGCAGAATATGCTCAAGAACTTACTGGACGTTTTCACGTGCTTGGTTGGATAGAAATCGGTGGTCATGAGACCGCGTTTAAGGCTTTCAACCGCTTTGCGGGTCTCCGAACGATTGTGCTGGGTGAGGGTTTCTAAAAAGACATTCGGAGGAGGTTCATGTGATTAGAAACGAATTATTCTGGTTTTTTCGGTGAGATATTTCTCAGGTATTTCTAAGCTAGAAATTAATTTGTGCATTATATTTTTGTTTGGTAATTAATACTGCAAGAGAGAAAAGACGACTAGAAAAGATATAGTTTGTATAGTTGTGTGCCTTTTTTTGTGTGTGTAATAAACTAGATAGTGCTGGGGGGTCTGATTTTTGGTGGATTAGGAAATATTCCGAATTAAACTTTAAATGCAGCTTAAAAAGAGCTTAAACCCTTTAAAAAGTTAAATTTTGTAGCTACATTTAATAGTTTTTATTTATACTTCCTCTCCACAAATCAGTTACCCTTTCACCCCTTTAATTTTTCACTCCATTTCTACTGCAATCCATTGGCCTCCGCCAGCCGTCGAGCAATTTCATCTGCACTAAGGAAGTCAGTGGCTTCAGCTCCATCGCGACCGCCACCTGCTCCTCCACCTTCTCCACCCATTTCACCGCCGAAAGGTGGCTCCGGACTCTTGCTGGTGTACAGCGCAAAGTGCTCAGCCTCGGAGAGATCCACACTGGGATCCAGTACCACACCATAGGCACCTTCGCACAAATTCCTTATGCTCTGACGATCGGCAATGGCCACCAGTTCCATATTACCATCACTGATGGGAATATCCGCCAATTGTAGGGTGCTGAGGGTCTTCCGGTCTAGAGGTCGTCCATAGCTCAAGGTACTGGCATTCGAGTAGCTCTCCGGACGGAGCAAGCTGTTCTCGCTGTCGCCACCCTTCAGGGGAATATGAATCACATCCGCGTCCAGATGTGCTGGCCTCTTGCCGGACACACTGCTCGAACTCCGACCCACTGGCTTTCCATTCCGACCTTCGCTCTTGCCCAGAGGTTGCATGGATTTCGTGGAGCTGCGATTGGGATCGCCTAGGGAGAAATGTGCCACACTTGGCTCCCTACTGCCGGTGGGTGTGGTGGCTTTCGATCTGCCAGAGGATTGCTTACTAGGACTTGCACCCGGTGTCAAGGACTCTTCGTCCTCGGCCCTACTCTTGCGGCGGGAAAAGAATCGAGAGAAGAATCCCTGGCGCTTCTTCGGGGACTCACTTGGTGTGGGCTGCCTTTTGGTGGGACTTTGGTCGGGAGTTCGCATTATGATAATGGGTGAGGGTGTGGTTCTGGCGGAGCTAAGGCTACCATTTCGGGAGCGGCTTATCGAGATGGAGTCACTGACAATGCTCAGATCCTGTGAGTTTCTCTGGGGCTTTGGTGGCAACGGCGGCAATCTGTGCTCGGGATCTGGCGAAGGTGTACGCGGTGGCAGCGGCAGGGGAGGCGAATCTGGTGGCGTGGCTGGGGTCTGGGCGGCATTCACTTTAATCCTGGGTGCCGGTGGATTCGTAAGAACCACTAATTCAGCATCATCCAGAGAGCCAAATGGATTTGTGGGTGGATAGATCTGTATACCACCACCCTGCCTGCTCTCCTTGGGTGCAGCTATATCTATGGGATTGTTGAAAGCTATCTGAAGGCTTGTGTAAGTGGCGGTCTCATCGAAGTTCTCGTCCAGATCAACGGAGGCCTGGGCACTGGCTGTCACCGTTTCTGGCTCCTTGTCAGCCTCCGGTAGTTCCTTTACTGCAGGATTTTCAAGGGTATCCCTGCGGGATCCGTTGGTCAGATGGGCTTCCTCCTCCAGCTGATTCGTTATGGTCGTATTGGCCGTCAGGCTGCTGACATTGGTGAAGGCTGTCTGAGCGGTGCTATTCGACAGGGATTGGGTGTCCCCATTCTCCACGGTCAGGCTATCCGTTCGCTCAAATTCGCTGCTCTTCATCCATTCGGTGATCTTGTCCACATTGGTCAGCGGACGTGACTGCAGCTGTGGATGCTGCAGTATCTCCTCCATGGGCGTAGAGGTCTGAGTGCAATCGTCCGCCAATTGGGGCAGTAACTGCGGCACCTCCAGTTCGATCTCCATGTCAGGTTCGTTATCGTTATCCGTATACTCGGTGACGGTTCCACCATCCATTTCGTGGGACTCTCCTCGCTGTTGCATCTGCAGTTTCTTTACCATTATCTCGAACTCATTGAGCGTTCCCGAACTCTGCTGATCATCCGATGACACCGTGTTGTTCTCCTCCTCAAGATCCAACGGTGGACACGAGTACTTTGTGGCGGATTCACTGTCAAGGGAGAGGATCTGCTGGAACACATCCAGCTCCTGGCGACGCTTCAGCTTTCGCTGGAGCCTGGCAAAGGTTACCGTACCTGGATTCGGGTAGTACTCGAACTTCAGCGGGGCACTCGTCGCTCCATCCGAGGGTCGCACTAGTTTTAGTTCCACCTGCAATGGAACAAGGTCTTTATGATCCTATCCTATCCTATTAAAGTGTTTTCCACTCACATGTACACTCTGTGTAATCTCTGGGTTTCTGTAGCGCGGCGTCTTGAAGGCAATGGCCATTTGTTTGAAGACATCCGTTGGCAGGAACTCTGCATTGGCATGCCAGGTCTCTCGTCCATCTCCATCCGTCTCATAGAATCGCACCTCGATGTCATCCTTGGCTACCCTTTCGCACAGCATAATGATCTCATTGCCGCCAGTGACCGGTGCCGAGCAGCTACACAGCCGGGTGATGGTGAGCTCGTTGCTCTTACCATAGATTGGCGAGGAGACAATGGGATCCAGGGCCACCCGTGTGTGACCCACTGTGATAAAGGCCTGATAGCACAGTCGCAACTCGTACCTATTGATCTTGTCAATCTGGTCTTTGTGATCGAATTTGGCTAGGAAGTATAAAGAAAGAACCTTTTAGATATTAAGGATTAATTAGATGGAGGAGATACTCACCTCCAAAGGGATCCACATTCTTGCGTTCCCTCTCCAGCAGGGAGTCGCGCATCTCCAGCTTCTTGGCACACTGGATGCCCACCTTTTGGAGCACCAATCGGCGCTCCTCTGGAGGCAAACGCTTAGAGTAAACACCCGACTTGCAGGCATCCGCCTCCTCCTTGCTGACCAGCCAGTGGGGATGCTGTCGGTAGGGTTCATCGCTGGTCACGCAGGACACCACGATGACAACGGGACCATCATAGTTGCATACCTCAATCGTGGGAAAGGTCTTCCCATTCTCGGAGTTCGAGTTCATGCCGGGTATGGAGCCGGCAGTGCGTCCCTCGCACTTGTAGCGAAAGCGGATTATATTGTTCGTCGGCTCCTCCACGATGCGCAAGTGGGGTCCACTCTTGGCACTTGGCTTTGGCGGCGGCGTCTGGCTCTGATTCAGCAAGTGGAGCGGCAGGTGTGACGGCATCACCGGCAACGAAGTTGACTGCGATAGTATGTGATGACCTCCACCGCCTCCTCCTCCTCCTGCGGCTCCTCCATTTCCGCCTCCGCTCACTCCCATGCTGGCATTGATAATCTCCTCTAGGATTGGCAAGGGACAAAATGGAAAAAAAAAGTTGAGTAATACGCAAAAAATCAATAAGTCAGAGTGCCAGAAACAATTTAGCTTAGGTTATGAGGGAAAAGGGGAAACCCAAAATGGGAGCTAGAAAAGAAGGTATTCTATAGTTGAAGGGGAGTTGAGGTTCTTCAGAAATTGATTTTCATATTCATATATTATAGAAATAGGAAAAGAAAGATTATTAATGAAAATATCTCTACATTTTCTAAAATATACAAAAGGAGCCTTCTAAATAAGACATTTTTCGTTAAGAATTTAAGTTATAAAGTTATAGTCACTTCAATGTAGTTTAAAGTGAGTTTAAGCTCTTCTGTTATTCAAAATTTATTCAAAATTTAGTAGGAGCTTTAACTTATTATGAAGAAAAACCCTTGCAGAAAGTATATTTATTACAAGTTAATATCACAAAAACTACACAATAAATATTGATTTACTTTCCTATAAAAATAATAATATATTTTGGTTAAAAAATTCCACATTTCGTAAAACTTTCCCAATATTCCTATTCAATATAATTTAGTAATTTTATTTTGAAAGACGGAAAACAAAGACAATGCGTGTGTGCGGATAATTTGGTATCCATCAGATACTGTGCACATATATGAAAGGCATTGGTAAAAGGTTGAATGAAAGGCTTCCTCCTTCTATTCCATTTGGACTTTGCTATTGCCAGATGTCGACTTGTAGTACGATGATGACGAACTCTGACGTCAAAAGTTGGGCAGCAATTTGCCAGACTTATTATGCCACTTTGTTACTATATATATATTCCATTTTTTCTTCTGCCTGACTGGCTTCGGATGGCAGCAGCAATAACAATGTTCAATTAGCCACTAAAAATTCCCCCACAAATCTGATGCCTTTGCGTGGCCTAATTAAGCGCATTGTCGATTGACTTATGGCCACAGATTATTCATTAACCGGAGCAGGGATCTCTTTCAGGGGGTTATGGTATGCTCTGGGATTATGTTTATATTAATTAGGGCTAGTATGTGCCATAAATTGATGGCTGTTTATACATATGTTCGTACCTAAATCGCCCAAGTACTCCTCCTCAGCCATTGGATTTCACTGTTGATTGCCTGTGAATTAAAGCAATGATAGATTGTCATTAACATTCTGCATACATGTATGGTAAATGTATTTAATGATAGATTAGCCTTTTTTCGGTTCCTATATTGCTTTAGCCCAAGTCAGGAAAATTTAAATTGATTGTTTTTCTTTTTGCTGTTCGGTTTGACGTCTTCCATCATCGATTGTTTTGAATAGAACATATGCAGGAATAAATATAAATTGTTTCGAGTACTTTGATAATTGATTACAATCACTGAGAATTTTGTAAAAGTATAAATATATTTTAAAGAAGCTTTTAGGAATACTCTTAAACATATATAAACATTCCATAGTTCCTCTATATAATTTATTTATTTTGTATTTATAAAAATATCAAGGCCTATTTTTCATTATCTAAACACTCGTCTTAATAAATTCCAATCATTTGAAATGGGAAAAAATCCAGTTATGACGTGAATATGATTAGATGCATAATCTTAGTTCCGATTCACTTAGACTATTAAGTACTTTTTATTAGCTTTAAGTTTATGGTGCTTGGTAAAATCCCACACATTTTGCAAGAGCTTAAAGTACATTGTGATATTCAAACCCGAATCATTAACTGATTTTTAGAGTAGGAATAACCATTTTCATCGGTCAAGGTGTTTCTTTATCTTTGTGATTTTGAATTTCCCAAAAAAAATTGTATTGATAACGAAATCTGTTCTGGTTTGGCGATAATCAAAAAGAGGTGTTTCTGGGGAATCTCTGACTATGTCGTTATACGCCGTCTTATCAATAAACTATACACTTTGACTTCCAGGAAAATTATCAACAAATATTTAAGGGCATTTATATATTATATACATGAATCATTATTATTTTAATAAGTTGTAAGTAAATAAAAGTTTATATTTCGTTATCATTTCATAAAATCTATTTTTTATAATGGCAAAATATAGTAACAAAATAAATAAATACCCGGAATGTAAATAAATCTATTAGAAACCCTTAATAGTACGCAATTTGATTCGTTAACATCCTCAACATTTTAACAGTGTTTATTTTTCCTTTTTTTTAATGCCATTTAAAATTGATAAACTGACATAAATATTTGTTCAAGCCTTGTAAGCATATTTCCTTCATTTCCCTGCCAACATATGGCTGAAACTCTTAACGATTTGCTTTTGGGCCCAGAGACTTGTTTTTTTATCTTCTTATGTAAGCATTCAAATACCGGCTACTGCCGCATCGATCAAGGTTATCATTGTTATTCATTTGTATATGGGATAATAACATTGTCGGTATAATGTGTATTTAATAGTCCTAGCCATAAAAAAGGCCAAACAAGTCACTCTCCACGCCACTTGCTCCGAATTTTCCTCCATTTTCCTTGACTTTTCTCTCTTTCCCGCAACTGCAGCCAGCAATATGCCAAGCGTATTTTGCATTTTCTGCACATAACTCAACTTTTCAACAAAAGAAGGAGAGCACACACAATACACACACACACACAATACACACACACACACACACACATAGACAGAAAGGCACTGAGAGATAAAATCCAGCAAGAAGTCAACGCCTCAGACAGCCTATTTGTCTAAATGCCAAACGTTGGCGTCGAGATCTTACAAAACATACAAGTAAATACACTGGGAAATAATTGATAAAAAATATATATTAAAATAATAAAGAATTAATTATGATTGTAATTACTTATGGAGCCATCTTTGGAAATTTTGAAATCATTATAAATGCTCATTTTGGAGCTCTTTTCAATTGTAAACCCCTTTTTATATATTTATATTTCCATGATGCTCTTGACAAAATTATTTACTAAAGAATTCATAAAATCAATGTAAAATATTATTTTCTAGTCCTTTTCAAAAATAAAATGGCAAATATAAATTCTTATTCTTTTAAATTTAAAAAGTCTTTTAATAAAAAAACCTATTATTATTATGATAATTGAAAAAAATACAACCTTCTAAATTTATATAAATAGCTTGAATAAATTTCTCAGTGTACCCAACACACCCATACGATTGCAGAAAGACATTCGCTCACACGTGGGGGCTTGAAAAATTTGCATATGTTAATTTTGTTTACATTTATAGCCTTGCAAAAACAATTTGTCCGCCACTGGATTTGCCTTTTGTTGTAGTTGTAGTCATTGTTTTTTTCTTCTGTTGTTTTTGTTTTTTGTTTTCTTTTTTTGCAATTCACACCACACTCGCTTACAGGCGCACGGCGAAGACACACATCCTACGGTTTTGTTTACGAACCACATGACGCTTTATGGCACCCATACTCCACCCTTAAAAGTGGCCTCCATCCTCCTCCCCCACCTGAAGAACCCCCTTCACGTGTGTCGAACATCTGAGCTGTGTAATAAGCGAATGTGGGTCGAAGTGGGTTTTGGTGGCAGCAGCAGTAGCAGCAACAGAGGAGCACTCAAATAAAAACTATTCCGAACTTGAATTACTTATAAACAATTTTTATATTAAGATAATAAAATAGAGTAAGCTGTCACGGTCTCTTAAAGTTCATAATAATTGTCAATATTGAAAGAGTAATACTGAGCAAGGGATTATAAACGCTCTTAAAGGTTGGATGAGATCAAAGAAATGAGTGCAACATAACGTATAGGTAATATGCAAAGTGTAAATTAGTTGATTATTAAATATTAAAATGGTTAGTTAACCCTTATTTATATATTTTTTATTTTTGTTATATCTATATTTTAGCAAGGGGATATAAAAACTCTTAAATCAAATCAAATGAGATCAAAGAAATGAGTGCAACATAACGTATACGTAATATGCAAAGTGTAAATTGGTTGATTATTAAGAATTAAAATGGTTAACCCTTATTTATATATCTATTATTTTTGTTATATCTATATTTTAGCAAGGGGATATAAAAACTCTTAAAGGTTGGATGAGATCAAAGAAATGAGTGCAACATAACGTATACGTAATATGCAAAGTGTAAATTGGTTGATTATTAAGAATTAAAATGGTTAACCCTTATTTATATATTTTTAATTATATATTTTATTATATATATATATTTATATATTTTTATTTTATTTAGTGTTATTTATTTTTTTAAATAAAATACATTTAATTAATGTTTAGCCATTTTAATTCTTAATAATCAACTAATTGCTTATTTACAATTTGCATATTACGTATACGTGTGTATTATATTTTAGTCAAAAGCATAAAATTAAGTAAAATAGTAATTTTTAATCATATAAAGTTGAAATATTATAATATCTCTGTTTCTCAATTTTCTGCCACTCGCCCTCTCGCTCTCTCTCTACTACTCTCCATTCCTCTAGCGCTCTATGTTATTCTCTAGGCATGCCTCTTTCGCTCGCTCTTTCCCTGGTTAACTCTAAAGAAAGCAAGAGTTACTCTCTCTCCACATTCTCTGTTCTCTTCACCTGGAGAGTATAAATACAGGCGCTGCTGGCCCGCGCGCCTCAGTCTGTCCGGGGCCCCCACCTGTTAACATCTAGAGTGATAGTGATAGTGATTAGTGATTCGACCCCAAAAATATGACGTGGCCTATGCAATACATCTGGATAACCAGGAGGATGATCAACTCGATGATACCAGGGTAACCGTGTGTCCTCTACTGGGGTAAGTCTTAAGCATGACAATTATATCATATATATAGATTATATAGGAGAGATCAGCTAGAATCAGGTCTGCATTTATTTCCTTATTGCCATAGATTATATTTTGTATTAAGATTACCTATAAACGTAAACACAAAGTTAATAGCCTAACTTAATTATAAATTATTTATCCATATTGATTACCCTTTGCGATAGTTTCAAAACTACATTTTTATAGTCTTGTCATGGGTAATATAATTTCTGTCAAAAGATAAAACCTCACTGAAGTAGTCATTTCCGACCCTATAAATCATATATATTTTTGATCAGCATCAACAACCGAGTCGATCTAGGCATGTCCCGTGGAAAAATAAATTTTGAAAATAAAATGTAAAAATTTAAATTAATAAAATAAATTAATTTAAAAACTAACATGGAAAAGCTTTCCGAATTGGAATTAAGCCTTTTTTTGCTTAGTTATGTGATTTTGAAACTTTTGATTTCTCGACAAAATATTGATGCAAAGAATGCAAATATTTTAAGTTCGGTTTTGATCGATTATATTGTATTGTGAAATTCTTAACCCTTTAAAATGTATTTAATTATTTAAAATAAATTCAATTAAGTATTTTGCCTGAGTGCATCGAGAACCATTGACGACGACAAACGACAGGGGTGCAATGACATCAGGAAACTTTTAAGTAAATTTCGCTAGCTGCTGCTTAACTGCCTCTGACAGCAGCTTCGCTTTACCCTTAACCCGCTAATCTCTCATACACACTGAATTACACACACCAACCCGGTGTGTACACCCACTCGCAGGGACACACACCCATTCACCGTCTCACATCCTGGGCAACAGGACCGGCATTAAGGATATCCTGGCGCTGGGAGAAGGGAGGTCATTTTCTGCGGCATCGTTTAAATTTTTATGCAAAGGGGTCACAAAAAGTGGAACCACACAACACCACACACACACACACACCATATCGATTGTCCTGCTCATGGGCATAAATAATAAAGTAACTCAAGTGTAATACACACAGTATAAAGGGAAACTTCTACCACATTGTGTCTGCCAGAGACAGGCACTGTATAACATACAAAGAAGTTAAGTCTTATATGTAAGCGAGTTGATTACTCAATGAATACATTTAAAATTTTATAACTTAATCAGTTGATAGGTAATTATATGAATGATAGACATTCTATGATTTATTCAAGTTATTTCACCTCCAAATATATTACATTCCACAATTGAGAGGGCCAAATGTTCCCTAAATAGCTAAGGAGACTAATGAGCCAACTAATTGGCTGAAATCCGTTTGAATTTGATCCGCATAAGTAGGTATTTTAGGATGTGGATAAATGATATAATTATAGAACTTTGAGTGTGTT